CTCGAAAGATATGAAAGATCTCCCTCCAAGCCGTACATCCGACTTTCATCGAATACGGCTTTCCGCAGAATTCTATATGTATCTATGAGATCGAGTATGGAATTCTGTTTACTCACTTTCAATTGAGTATCCGTTTCCCTCCCTTTCTTGTTAGGATTGGAAATCCTGTATTTTACATATCCATACGATTGAGTCCTTTTTACATTATCTTGTACTAACTAATAAAAGGCCTAGGGCTGAAAGTGATCTTAGAAACCAATCGCGTTCCGGGAAAAAATCTCAATATTGTATTCTCCTAGAAGAAAAACAAAAATTGCGTTTTCATTATGGTCTTACAGAACAACAGTTAATTCAATACGTTCGGATTGCCAGAAAAGCCAAGGGGTCAACAGGTCAAGTTTTACTACAATTACTTGAAATGCGTTTGGATAACATCCTTTTTCGATTGGGTATGGCTTCAACTATTCCTGCAGCCCATCAATTAGTGAATCATCGACATATTTTAGTGAATGGTTGTATAGTAGATATTTACCTTCAAATTTATTAATTTATTATATTCACTACACTGTTCATTGTCTCCTTTTTACATTATCTTGTAATATATATTTATTTACCAAGTATTTTATACAAATATAATAAATATTAATATTTTGTTCAATACTTTCACATGATAACCTACGACACATATCTCACAACACATGAAACATGTAGGAAAAAGAACTATTACTACTAAATATCAATAGGTGTTTGTAAGATAAAGAGATCATATTTCAACTAAAATCCCAGTTATATACACAACAAGACAAATTTAAAACTTCTTACACCATAATCTCATTGCATGATGATTCCCTCTATGCTGTCACCAGTAACCTAATTGCACATGACACACTACCAATAAAAATAAAAAATAAAAAAAGAAGAAGACATGTACTGAAGATGAAAACAATGACAATGCTATCCAAAAGAGAATTAAGAAGAATTGGAGAAATTTAAACAAAAAGTAGTATTTATTTAGACTATCACTTTTAGACTAACTATTTAGACTAGCGTTATTACAAAGTTGTAAATATTTATTTTAGTAACAATTATAATCAATCTCTCATATATTATCTTGAATTTATATACTTTAAATTACCGATTTAAATAAACAAATTCAACATTTATTTACCTATGCATAAACATTTCCTATATAATATTGCATTGATATACTTTAAAATACTTATTTAAAAATAATCATTGGGCATTATCCCATTCGCGCAAAGCGCGTAAAAAAAACAAGTACAATTATATAAATTATAACAACGAATATTATATAGTATAATTAATGAAATATGTTGAATCGATTATATTTTTTGGTATTATCATTGTTTGAATTCGAGTAAATAATTGTCCAATTATCCGTGCTATGCACGCATGCATGATGCACATGCTATGCACGGATGAAAGTTGTTATTATGTATTTAGATAATAAAAATAAAGAGAAAATTATAATTTGTTGTACAAGCTCATGTTAGACATGCTCAGGACCGGCATTCAATAACAATCCTCCTTTTATCTTTCTTGGTTGCTTTTATCATACATTACAGTATATACAAATACAGTAAAACTACCCAATATTAATTTGTACTCAGCTAGATTTGGGGATTACGTTTTTGAATGTTTTGCTTATACTTATTATGCCATGTATGTATGTATGCATTATATATAATCTGCAGATTGAAGAGACTCCATGCACGAAGCTTTGCAGCAGTAAGAAGATCTTGACAGTGAACGGGAAGTTCCCTAGACTGGTTCTTTATGCCACTAAAGGACATACACTTATTGTCCATGTTTATAACAAAGATTCCAAAAATATAACCATCCATGATCCATTGGTATATATATATATATATATATATATATATATATATATATATATATATATATTTACTGTACTCTAGTTAGTTGGAACTGGTATATATTATTAGAAGTTAGAACGTACAAATTAAATATAACTGATTGAGCTAGGTTTCTTGCAGGCATGGAGTAAAAATGTCGAGGTATTCATGGACAGATGGTCCAGAATTTGTAACTCAATGTCCTATTCAATTAGGAACTAAATTTAGTCAAAATTAAGATAGTGCTTTACGATGAAGAAGGTACATTGTGGTGGCACGCTCACAATCACTAGTTTCGTGCCACCGTGCATGGTGCCCTTTTGATTTATCCTAAGGGAAGCCAATTTCCTTTCCCTAAACCCTCAGCTGAAGTGCCCATCATATTAGGTATATATATTACTACTAGTAGTTAGAATACGCGTGAAGCGCGAATTAATCATGCCCAACGTGTGAAACTAAAGTGAGGATAATCACTATATAAGTTAAAAATAAATGTTGCTTAATATGAATTTTAACTTGTCCAAAAATAGTTTTACTGCTTATTGTAATAAATAAAGATAAGGAAATTGAGAATATGTTTTGGATGGGTCATGAAGGCATCGACAAATTATTGTATGGACCACGATCAGATCCAAAATGACGTCGTTAATATTATGAGTAAGAATAATATGCTTTATGAGTTAGAATAATTTACTTTATGTGTTAGAATAATGAAACTACTGGAGTAACATAATGTATTTTATGAGTTAGAATAATGTACATTATAAGTTATAAAAATGTATGTACAATCAAAAGAATACAAAGTACAATCTTTTAGAAAAGAACACACTATTATACCAACACATTTTGTATTCCCGATATACCCTTACCTTCATTGGCTCTTCTTAAAGTTGTAGATGTAGATACGCCACATGCATGCACCAGCAGGCCAAGTTACGTTGTTCTTTAATTTGGAAATATATAGATATAACTAGTTTTTTACGCGCATTGCGCGATTGGGATAATGCCCAATGCATTTTTTTTAAAAATAAGTACTTTAAAGTATATTGAGGCAGGATTATATTGAAATTGTTCATGCATAGATAATTGAAGGTTGAATTTGCGTATTTAAATAGGTAATTTTTCTCCCAAAGGTTGAGTCCCCAACCCCAAGGGCCCCCCACACTCCGACCCGACAGAGCATTGTGGGAAGTTGTAAATCACGGTGACTCAATGGTTCAGCAGACAGGGTCAAATGCTGATACGCACAAGGAATCTGCCCACTTTGGACATAATTCCCGCACTGCCGCTGCCGAGGTTCAAACCTTGGTCTCCTCTCCTAAATACTACCCACTAAACATTGAGCTAAGTCCGTGCGGGTTAAATAGGTAATTCTAAGTTTACAAATGCAAGATAATATAGTCAAGATTGATTATAATTGTCAATAAAATAATTGTATAGGTATGGTTGAAACCAAATACGGGACATAAGGGAAAACAAATAAAAATTAGGGCATAAAATATTAAATATATACTAATATTGTTTGAGGAGATTCCGACATTAGGATTTGTGGTTAAGTTCGATTAAGACTTTAATATTAGAATTAGATTAATGGCGTAGTTATAATTCTATATTAGACTTTAATATTAGAATTAGACTAACGGTGAATTAACCGAAAAGTTAAATGGATAATCATATAATTAAGGATAAATTATAAAATCTTAAATGAAAAAAATTAAAACCTGAACAATATGAACCATTCATTTGATTTAATAATTTGGCGGTCATTTTTTCTACCCAATGTTAATAATTAAATAAATTCACTGGTCAAATCCGCTAACGCTAACCGCTAACTGCTGATTGTCAAACAAGGACATTGCGAGGTAGTTCTCACTTCAATTTGTTGTGTGATTTGAATACGCTCTTTGTCACAAAATCTCTCAAGTAGTTAATATGATTGGCTTTATTAATTATTTTTTTTTTTAATTTTTTCATGGTATTAATAAAATACTTGATAAATAAATATATAGCATTATTTTTGTATTATAACTTTGATATTTAATTAGAAAAATAGTGCACAAAAAGATAATAGATAATGTAGTGAATATAATCAATTGATGAATTTGAATGTAAAAATTTTTACATTTGAGAAAAATAAAGACAATATAACTAATGAAAATATTTCTTTTAATTAATTTATTGATAATTAATAATTTTTTTCACTGAATAAAGACATTGTAAGGATAATGTAGCGAATATAATCAATTAATAAATTTGAATATAAAGAATTTTTATATGGAAGAAAAATAAAGAGAATATAACTAATAAAATTATTTCTCTTATTTAATTTATTGATAATGAATAATTTTTTTTTTAAATAAAGACATTGTGGACACATAATTCTAAATTAAAGAAATGCATATGTATTATTTTTTGTTGTAACTACTAAATTATTATTTATATAATTTAATAAGAGTAAAATAGAGTACTAATTATGCCAACTTTGATTAGGATGAGGTTCGAACCTAAGACTTTTTTTTATTGAAATCAATGAGTAAGTTAACGGTGAACTAACGGCAATTCTTAAAATTTTAACGGAATTAGTAACGGTGTGTGGGTATTTTAGGAAATTTTAGTGTAAAATTTAAATCTGATCAATCTTTTAATCAATCTGAGCCATACATTTGATTAAAATCTGTGTCCGCTATTTTTTCTACCCATTATAGGCCTAACTCTATTGGGCTCTTATTAGTATAGTAGATAGATATTATGATCCATAACAATATCACACTATTATAGAGAAAATATCATTTTTGCTTCCTTGACTATCATAGTTGAAGCACTTTTGGTCTTTAACTATTGCTTTTTTTTTTTTTTTTTCTAATTAGGTGCATGACTTTCTAATTAGTATCGGATTTGGTCCTCCAATCTAATTTTACGGTCACTTACTATCAGAATTTCAACTGAAAAAATAATGTGGTGTAATTGAAAAATTATTTTGATCCTTTCAATTTTATTTTATTTTCCTCTTTTATTTTTCTTCTTCTTCTCCCTTTCTTCATCACCCGTTTCTATTTCTGACTAGCCCTAAGAAGTCTTCTTCTTCCTCTTACGCCTCTTTTATTTTGCTCTTTATTTCTTTCTTCCTCTCCTGTTCATTTCCTTTCTTCCCTCTATTTCTTCAATCTCTACATAACCCTAGCAAGACAATCCCAACATATGTCAATTTCATCTTCTTTTAGCCATCGGAGTTATTATGGATTTGGTTAATGTATTCCAGTAAAACATTGCTATTGTGATCACGAAGTCAAGCTACGCACATCATGGACAAATGATAATCTAGGTCAAAGGTTTTGACAATGTCAAAATAATGGGGTAAGAAATTCTTCATCAATGTTTCCTTCTTCTTTTTTTTTTTTAAAAAAAAAATTATTTAAGTGAAATATGTAATGTGATTTAATTCTTCATCAATTTAATTCGCAGAACAATGGAGGTTGTGGATATATGGAGTGGTTTGATCCTCCAATTTGTAAGAGGGTAAAGAAAATTATTTTGAGATTACTAAAAAGATTAAACCGACAACAAGAAGAAATTAATAGACTTGAGATGAAGCTTAAATATGGGGAGGCAAGACTTGACAATGAAGCTCAGTGGAAGTTTGATATTGTGTTGCTTAAAATTTTAAAAAAATATATGGTGATGTGAGCTTGATGCAATTACGTGTTCATGAACGTAAATGAACACGTTCACGAACGTTAACAAACAATAATGAACGCTTAACAAACAAACACGAACAAGATTTTTAAATTAAAAACCTTAACAAAGGTGAAACTTTGGAAGAATGACCAGGGATCGAGTCTCACCAACGGCAGTGTGGGAGCTACCTCTCAAAGTGAGGGGGTTCCTTGTGTGCAGTGAGCACCGGTCTAGCCTCTGTGGTTCATGTTCAGTTGAGTTACCACGATTTACATCCTCCCAAATGCTCTTCGAGTCGAAGTGTGGGGGGTCCTTAGGGTTGGGATTCAGCCTTACGGAAGAAGATTTTCAAATTAAAAACCTTAACAAACGAACACAAACACTCCTAGTTTATTTTATAGCCTATACTTTATTTTGGGTTATTAATATGTTACCATGGGAAATAAAAGAGACTTTAAAGTAAAATCCTTTAACTTTCTTCAATTCATAAAGGAAAACTGAATTTTAAAATAAAAATAATAATACTTTAATTACTGTCAGAGGCGCGTTTGACGCGCCCAGCATTGGGCGCAATGGTGATAGCCACGCATGGCATTTTCTGACATTATTTCCACATTATATACTGGTGGTGATGCTCTTAGTTTTTTGTAAAAACTTATTACTTCGAAATGCTAAAATTCAAAAAGCTGCTTAAAGTAGCTTTTTCGATCACCTTTTTTATAAAATCATTTTGCATGTAATCAATTAACAACTAATTTACCAATCACTTTTCTATATCAACTAATACTATCAACTAGTCAAACCTACCAACCCAAACAACTAACAACTATTTACCAGAACACCCCATAAATTTTAAGAATTTTGGGTCATTCTCATTTAGCTTTTAAGTTTTCAACTAGACATGACAATAATATATTAGGGAAAAGATTCATTGTATTAGTGAGATACTTGATTATAAATTTGCTAAGTGTTTAATTTTTACTTGAAAAATAGTAGAATTACAGGATGAATAGTATTGGGAGGTTTCTTTTCAGAGTATGAAGCTAAGGTCCCTATTTATACTAATAGGTGACAGATCTACCTGGTTACCTAACCTTGACCAATGAGAACATAAAGTTTGACCAATGAAACCTGCTCTACATCCTGAGACCAACGACATGACTCGGACTGTACATTATTGCTTGACACGTAAAGCTTTTTACAGACATACGTAACTATTGTCTTTGTCTATGTAAAATCTGGGCTTTTAAAACCATAAAATTGATTTTTGACTTTGAATATATCATTGAGTTTTGAATTTTGATTAACTAATTGTACAATTGGATAAAGTTCAAATCTTATAACCTAACAAAAATTTATAATTTCGATTAATTAATTGTACAATTGAAGGATGTGTTTCAGATTAATTTATTTTTTGATGGACTTCGAGCAACATGTAAACCATAGTCATAACTAAAAGTCTAATCTAAACTTACATTTATAGAACTTGATCAGTTGATCATATTAAACTTTTATCAGTAGTAATTTGAATAATACACTGATAATTCTCCTAAAATTTGTTGATAGAACAGGTTCATCTTGATAATATTTTGATCATAAATCATAATATGTCCATTGATTTAGAGAACTTTTGGTAACAAGACAGTTAAGTATTAGGTTATCAGTGACTCATAGCAAGAAGCACCAGTGGTCTAGTGGTAGAATAGTACCCTGCCACGGTACAGACCCGGGTTCGATTCCCGGCTGGTGCAATAAGTTAAGCAATGATGAAAGCTGCGCTCTTGTGGTGATTTGGGTCTCCACAAATTATCTGATCTTTAATCCGACGACTAGCAGCGCCTCTGAGCTCATCTTTACTTTTTTAATTTTTAATTTTTTTTTCTCTCTCTTTTTTGGTAGACTATTTCCACATAACTAGTAAAATCTCTCCACTATGTTTAACATTTTTATCTTCAAATTATTTTATAGTAAAATTAATATTTAGTGTATTATGAATGTATAAATATTATGTAATCAATCATATTTTGTTATGTCATTAAAAAAGTAAATTTGATTTTATTAAATTCTTTTTTGAGTTAATTACCGAAATGGTCCCTTGACTATAATGAAATTACCAATTTGGTCATTGACTATTTTTTTTGACCAATTAAGTTCCTCAATTTTAAAAATCTTAATCAATTTGGTCTTCCATTTGTTTGACCGTTAGTCAACCGTTAACTTGGGACCAAATTGCTAATTCGCTATAGTCAAGGGACCATTTTGGTAATTAACTTTAAGGGTCGGCAATTCGGTTCAGTTTTCTCGAACCGAACAGTACCAAACTAGTTAGATTCGGTAATATACCGAACAATTGAACGGTAATAGATTCTTGTATATCGAACGATTCGGTAAAAACTCGAACCGAACTGAATTGTTCGATAAAAACTGAACCGAACTAAATACCGTTTGAATTTATACATTATTCCTATCTTATTCTTTGCCCACCGAATTGCAATTCCTTTCCTTCCTCCCAACCAAACACCCCCTAATGGTCTATGGCTAGTGAGCTTGGCCTTGCATGTTAGCTCTAGTTCGCAAAGGTAGGTGGTTAATTAGTTGCCAACACAACTGAAGTGGTGTAATAGTTCCTATAACAAGTTATTATATTAGTTGGATATATGTGGCCAACACATTCAATTCGACTCAACGTACTCAAGTACCTGTAGCCATAGGTCATTCCTCCCACCCATTTTTGTTCAATTGGATAGTTTGGTCTACTTGTGGTATTCCAAACTTGTTGTTTTGAACTTCATATTTAGATTATTTGATCTCTTGGGTCATCATGTACCAAAATCAAACACATTTACTTCTTTTCTCTAATTTTGCTTTCTTTTTTTTTTTCTTTTTTTTTTTTTTCAAGTTTTCCTTTCTTCACTTTTCTATTTCTTTAAGTATTCAAATTCATTTTCAATAATTATACACACAAAAGTGTACCTAAAAGACGGTATCTATAGAAAAAATATGAGATATTAATTGGTCATATGAAAAAATGGACTAGAGAGAAAGACAGAGAAATATTGGAGATTAAGGCTCCGTTTGGAAAGCAGGAAAATGACTTTTGGAAAAAATGTTTTCTGGAAAATAAGTTATTTTCCAGAAAACATTTTCCTTTTTGGTGTTTGGCTACACAACGGAAAACTGTCTTTGTGTGTTTGGTTCATTTTTTAGAAAATGAATAGGAAAATGAAAAGAATTGAATACTTCAAAATTTTTATTGTTTGATATTTTTGATAAAATCCTTTTTGTGAATAACACTCTTTTGATATATATATATATATATATATATATATATATATATATATATATATATATTAACATTTTAAAAAATGTAACTTTTTTTAATTTTTAAATACAAAAAAATTAATATTATTCGTAGATTTTTTTTTAACTTTGAATTAAAAAAATCGCGGACCGGCTCGCGGGGCCTGTCAACCCGCATGGGGCGGGCTTTGGTTGCATGAACCCTAGCCTGCGGGTTTGGTGGGCCGACTTGCAAAAGCTCGCAAAAAATTAGGCTCGAAAATTTTGCATGTGCATCCCTTGAAAAATGACTTCCCTAAAAAAAACAATCGTTATGCTGTGCATCTGTGTGCACCCATAGACGGAGCCAGAGGGGGGGCAGGGGCATGGTGGCTACAGGGGAGCTGACCCCCCATAGTAGGACGCACGTTTTTAGTCAAAACGACGTCGTTTTTGCATCGTGTGCACCATGCAAAATATCATGGCCCATAGATCAGACAACTTTTACTTAGATAGCCTTCTTGATGCAAAATATCTTTCTTCCAAATAGTCCTTTCTTGTCACACACCATCATCCCAACAAACAGGCGCGGAGGGACATGGTGGCTACAGGGGGCCTTGGTCTCGTCCAAAAACAAAAATTATTAATATTAGTAGGGGTAGAGGATTTAGATTTTAGAGGAACATGGTAACTGGGGACAAAAATAATACTTAATATAGATATAGATTAGACTTAAAAAAAAAAAAAAAAAAAAAAAAACAGGTGTAACAATAATCTGCTAAATTGCATTTTGTTTAGGAAAATTTATATGCATATCAAGAAAACTTTCATAGTCTTCCAACAATTATAATATTAATTCACAGCCACCAACATTTATTAAGGTTTTGCAAGACGATGAAGAAATTAACCACTTCCACAAGCATCCGAAAACAAAGGTCAATTCATCTTTTACTGTATATTATTTATTAACCAGTTAATCAGTATATATCTCAATTCATCTTTCCCTTTCTGATCGAGTTTGCATATCCACTTAATTACTCGAATTCAAGCAATGATAATATCATAAAACATAATCGATTCAACTACTCATTTCATCAATTATGTTATATAATATGCGGTGTTATAATTTTTTTTATTATAAGGGATACCTATATACACACTATATGCCTCAACTAAGGTTTGAACCTATCAAACCCCACTTAGGGGAGCAACCGAATACCAGTGGACCACAAGCCACTTGATATGTGTTGTTATAATTTATATAATTGTATATCGATTTCAAATATTCTTAAAATATTATAACAAATTCATTCTGTGCAACGCACGTGTGAAAATACTAACTAGTATTTAAAAAAAAAAAAAAAAAAAAAAAAAGGCAATTAGTTGAGTGGTGTGCAGGAGAATATACTCCGGATATATCGCCCTATACATTTTTACATTTATTCAATATCGGGTCAAGCCTGGTGCCTATATAAAGGGGCCTAACCCCTTCATTTTAGGGAGGCCATTAAGAGGGAATACTGAGCAGTCCAAATGGGACTTTCCTTCTTTCTTCTTCATATG